CGCGTGTCCTGCCCTGAGGAGACGGGGCAGGGGAGACATCCCAGGGCCCCATGCCCTGAAGGGTGGGGGTGCCGGGGGTACAGCTGGGCTTCCTGGGCACCCACAGACACACACACACCCACACACACCCCCACACACACACACAGACACCCCAGCAGCTCCGCCAGGCCCGGGCCCCCCGGCCTCTCCTCAGGCAGCCGCAGGTGCTGCTCGCAGGCCTCGCACGTCTGAGGTGTGTTTTCCAGGTGACAGCCCCTGCTTCTCGCCAGGCAGCCATGGCCAGCAGCGCCCAGAGAGCCGAGGAGAGCAGGGGCAAACGGAGGAAAGAGATGGAGGTGAGCAGGGCGAGGGAGGGAGGTGCTGGGCCCTCCTGCTGGGCCCGCTTCCCTGACGCTGCTATCGAGGAGAGAAGGCAGCAAGTTGGTTTGTGGAGGCTGAGGGTAACGTGTCATGACTTTATTGTATGAGGAGACGAGCACTTCTCTTGCTGTTTGAAGGCCCACGGCGCTGGGACGTGTGTACGTGCAGCTTCTTGAGGGGCAGCCTCTGAAATGCACCAGCTTTGCTGATGGAAACAAAGATCTGGAGCTGGGGCCTCCCCCACCCACTCCCCTTGCTGTCCCTGTTCCCAACAGATGGTCTTGGTGCTGTGAAGCCAACAGCACTTGCACTGAAACCAGCCTCCCCAGATCTCTTTGACACTGTTTCAGTTAAACGCCCTCTGTGCTGAGCTTGCCTCAAGTCCTAGGACTTTGTGCTTTTATTTTTGTATGTGCTCTGTTTATTAGAATGAAGCTTCAGAAGATGCTGAGGTGTCTTGCCTTGAGAAAACAGATCTGGCTCTTTCTGAGGGTTCACAGTCCCCTTACAAACCTGAACCCCTGGACAAAGTTTTAAATGGTATGAAACACACTGAAAGTAACTACACAGTTCCCTCTTTGATGTTGAGATTAAAATCCATTCAAACATTTAAATAAAATCACTACTCTTTTTTTTTTCTTTTGACAGAGATGAACAAAGAAATTATGAACTTGTTATCAAAATATGCTCAGATTTTAAGGCAAGTTTCACTTCCTATTTGTACAGCACCTTTCTAACTCCTCTAGGGAAGGTGGGTTTCTGTGGCTGCAGTGTAGAAAAATGGGCACTGATAGAACTTCTATGCTTTTTCCTAAAAGTGTGTTGTCTAAGTAGTGAGAAAGTTAATGGCATGAGTATTGATTTTAACTACAGATTTTTTCAATTAAGTGAGAGAGCAACGACAGATGCTTCTTATGTCCGAGAGCTTGATGGGATCTTAAAAGAAGCCAGGACCCTAGAAAACAACTTAAAACAGAAAAAGGAGAGTCTGAAACAGAGGTTTGCTGTGCTTGCAAACACTCTGCAAGGTTAGATGGAAATGCAGAGCAAAACTTGTAGTGTATTTTATGTATTAAAATGTAAACTATGATGAGTGGTACCATGAATGTTTTGTGTCTTCTGTATATATTTCTAGCAGTTCAGGAAACTTTCAACAACTGAAACAGCAACTTTAAAGAAGTAGATGCAACACATAAGGTAGTGGTACTTAGTAAAAAAACCAATACTTAATATCCATTTGAAATGTATAGCTCTAAGGGATTCTAACATTAACATGTTTATTGTTGACCCATGGCTTAAGTTGTTGCTGTGCTTCTGTCTCTGGAAAATATTGGAAGCATTTGAAAAAGAAAATAGAAATAATTTTGCATTGCCTGGCTAAGGAAGTTCAATACCTCTGGATTCTGAAGCAGCCCTGCTGTTTCTCATGTCACTGCTAAGGATGGTTGATATTTTATTGTCACAACCAGGCTTTCACTCTAGAGCACAGGATAGAAACATTTCTGTCTGCAATGCAAGTGGAAAAGGACATAATTTATTTTTTTTATCACTACTTTGAAAAATGTTTTCATGCTAAAATTTGATTTGAATGTACTTGTAATCTTATTTCCATTTTGTCTCCTAAGATAAATAGATTGAAAAGGTCATCTTAGAAACAGGAGAGTTCTATTAATGCTGCTGTGGGAAACATATAAACAGATAGAGAGTCTTAATTTGAAAATATATTTTAATGCTCCTGCAACTTTTCAAATGAAACCAAGGCCATTTTGATACAAACAGAAAAGCACACCATTAATATGTTGCTGGTAGTGTCTAGATACTAGATAATGTGAACATAAACTAGAATTACACAGCTCTTTTTAAAATTTAGATACATCAGTATTGTTTGTATATTCATGCATATTTGTTTATTTCATGATGCTTCTGGAGTTTTTTGAGCACTTTTTCTTGTCATTCAACTCTGTTAAAAAAAAACAACAAGCAAATATAAAAGGTACAGAGCATTATTTTTACAAATGGTGAGGCTAAAGTAATAAAAGTGCTGGATAATCCTGCTGCTGGTGCAAGATACTTTTATATCTTTACCCCTCTACTGTGTATTCATTTTGTCTTTTAATCCTTTCAGTCCTTTCCAATCCTCCTTTCCCCCTTTAATTAGATGTCACAAGCAAAGATGCTCCCTATCAAACTGATACTATTTAAAACAAATCATGGGAGGAGCTGGACATTCTGAGCAAGACTTCCCAAGGTATTTAGATGCCTAAAGATTCAGATATGTACTTAGCAGGATTTTCAAAGTCCCTAAGCATGTAAGCACTTTACATGCTTAAGAATTTTTGAAAATCCCCTAAGGTGCCTATTTGCATCTTTGGCATCAAGAAGCTTCCAAAAAAAAAATCTTGCCACTAGTCCACATCATATTTTACTAGTCTCTTATTTCTTCCTAATAACCACATCTCATTTTGCAGCCAGTCCTGGTGATGCTGTTTAAACAGAAGGCAGTGGGAGAAAGAGATTTTGGAAGTTAGATTTTCTAGAGGCTTGTGCTAAATGCTTCTAAAAATCTGTGATGGTCCATAATGGTGACAACAAGCAGAGTTTTAAATGGTCATCTCTGAAGTGTCTGAATTCAGAACTTTTCCCATAGTTATGTATTTCATTACTGTTCAGTACCTGCCTGTTCCCAGAGGCAGAAGTTTGCTGCATTTTAGCTGTGAAGATTATGCAAGTTTTGGGATCACCTGGGTTTAGATAATCTAGATTTTGCTGGTATATCCAAGTTGTACCCTTTTAAGCATAACTGGGAAGCAGAAAACTACTGGATCACATAATCCAAGTTTCTTCTCTTGGGGAGAGCACAGCCCCCCTTGTGTTACTGCTGCAGCAATTTGCTCCATTTAAAGCTTCATAAAACCCCAGAACATGTACTAAGACTATACTTTTTAGAAGAGGAGAACTTGCACACTTTCTTCTAAACCATTAGAGAATAAAATTGTAGTGTTTTCTTGTTTGTCTACCCAGCTGCTGATGTTTCTGCACTGATTGCCTCTCCCATCTCTTCTGATATTTATTGGGAGAAACAAGCCAATATTTTTTTTTTACTCTCCTGATGTGAAACCGAAAGAAAACCTCATTCTGTGTCTTAGGAATGAGCACATGAAATCCAGCTGGCACCTGGCCTGTCACTATCAGCTTTCCAGTTCTACTGGTTTGAACAGAAAATTAATTGGCTTTAAAGCTGCCAAATCTGCTCAGCAAAGCTCAGCTGGTAACTGTTTTCTTTAAGCTTCTCCTCCTGTAGTTTAAGCTGCAGTGCCTTAGGAAATGTCTAAGATGACAGATCAGTGACAGAATATACATGTTTTTTTTTCTTTATTTAAATGTAGAAACACCTTAGACCAAGTTCTGTCCCTCTTGAAGTCAAGGGCTTTTTTTTTGACAGTCTCTTACCTTTCTGAGCTTGCTGGGAGTCCCTCCATGCTCTGGCAAGTGTGAGTGATGGAAAAACTCATCTTCAGTTTCCCTCCTTGCTCTTCTGTTACCTAAAAGCTAAAGATGGGAAATGCTGGGTAATGCAGAGACAGCTCAGGGATTGAGCAGGAGAATTCTAGAAGTGCAAATTAATGATTGTTCACTTAAAATGAAACTGCCTTTCAGCAGAGGTGGGAATCTGGGCTCATAGGAATGTGGGTCATTCTAGAAAAACAACAACTCAGGTTTAGAGCTCATGACATTCTGTCTAGAACCACCAGAATTCAGTTCTGCTAATTGTTGACTCTTTGTTTGGTCTTTGGAAGCCTGATGAGGAAGGTGGCAGGAGAAAAGGAGCAGAGTGAGTGTGTCACATCAGTGGGGTGAAGAGCCAGAAGGGAGGAGGGCAAAGAAGTCAGGATCAACCAGCATGTTTCCCATCCTCTAGAGAGTCTGAAGTAAATGCCTTAACAGTGACTTTATAATCAACTTGGGAACAATAAATAACAATAAAAAAGAACAGAATCTCTCAGAGCAGCTGACTTAATGTGGAAAAATGACAGATGGGGCATTCAAAGATAATTGACTCTGTCCTGTATGATATACATAAAAATGAGCAATCAGGAAGTAGGGGATACATGACTTGAGTTTAAAAGTCAATGAAAGGAATGCAAATGATACTATTTTTTTTTTCTGGAAGGTCAGCCTAGGTGGCATCCCATAGTGATCTGCTTCAGACCTCACTTGAATGATGCAGGAGGAGGAGATGAGGGAATACAGTTCATTTTTCAAACTGCAGCAAGCCAGGTGGTGTTGGAATGTTACCAAGAATGTGTATCAACATGCACAATAATCTCAATAGGATGAAAAGTCCACCTGAAATCAAGGTATTTCTAAAATAACAAAAGCAACTGTTGAGCAAGGGGAGCTGGGGGTTACCAGCAAATCAGAACAAGTAGGGCTGGTGTGACATTACTGCGTGAGGAAGAAAGCAGAGCTGAGAAATGTTGGCTACAGGAAGGCAGCTGAGACAAAATCACATGTTCTTTGCTCTGTGCTGGTTTGGTCTGAGCTGGAGGACGGGTCTGCCTGTTCAGAACACAGTGGGAGGCAGGAAAAATAAAGGGTGAAGAGAAACATCTATGAGGAGAGGTCACAGCAGTTGAGTTTAATTTAGACAAGGACATTAGTCAGGTGTTCCCTGTAACTTGTAGAAAGGACAAGGAGAAATCAGCTTAATTTGCAGCAGAAGATTGAGGAAGAGCAATAATCTCTCCCATTTTAAGGGCAGTGGAAGGGGCTGCCCAGAGCACTGGGTGTGCTGCCTTGCTCTCAGCAACTTCTGAGAGCTGCTTAATAAGATGCAACAAATCTACCCATCACAGTGATGGATCCATCGTGTTTGTGACACGTTGGAGCCTCCTCTGGGCATCCTGAAGGAAAGGGTCTGTCTGAGGTTGCTTGGAACAGCAGAGGATGGGCACTGGTCCTTCCTTGCCTGTTTTGATGGTCTCAGCTGGTGCAGCAACCAATGTTCCTGAAGCCCTGAGGTTCCTCAGGGTGAATCAGAGTTTCAAACAACACCCAGTATTCACAAGGGTGAAAAAGAGGAGACAAGAATTAGCCAAAGAATCACCTTGAAGCCCAGCTACCTCCCTCCATGGATACATCCATCTCCTCCCCTTCTTCCCAGCTCCCCCAGCCACACCTGGCAAACATCAACCGAGAGGTGAGTGTTTTGCTGCTCTGGCCCTTCAGCAGCTCAGCTGCCCAGGGTGCTGGGAGCTGCGGGTGGCAGCAGGACAGGGAGGACAGGCAGGACAGCCTGGCAGGCTCCCTCCTCCTGCCAGGACGCTCATTCCCGGCTTTTATTGTGACA